ATACAATTAATGTCATTTTTTTACGCAGTCGCTAGCGAGCACACGTAACGTAAACTCATGGTAAGCACACTGATGTCCTTGAAACTGTTTTTTTTTTTACTTGGGCTGCGCAAACTAAAATCACTCTGGCGCCACAAACTGTTTGGTTTTAGTCAACGGATATCGCGTAGACGCCGTGCAAACTTCCAAAATGAACAATCACGAATACGAATTCTTCTCAAATTATTTGCACGCTATTATTTACCGCAAACATTTGCCCAACAAGCGTTGCCTAATCTAAATTGTGCATAATATTTATCATAATAATAATTATAAGTCAATCCCCTATGTTAATTCTGTAGAATGTAACACTTATTTAATTTGAATAAGGTATTATTGTTACGATAAACACGATGCAACCCAGTTGCGTGTGTTTGCATAGTCGCCTCGTCGCACTCCGAGTCTCCGGCCACCTTTGTTTTAACATACCGCGGTTGAATGGCTAATTTAGAATCCCACTTATCTGATTCAGTTGCTCATTCGACCTGAATATTCGGCTTCATAAATTTCGTGCTCACGTCATAACGGATTGGCATTCCATTGTTTACTACCAATGTCTTTTATAAGCAATGAATTTGCTAATCGACTCTATCTGGCTCTTTCATTCGCGTGAATATCCCAGGATGAGTAAAGAAGAAAGAAAAGGCCAACATTGAAGCAATTGAACGGAATAGACCCCTAAATCTGAAACAGGGATCGATCTAAAGTTATCAAAGAAGATATCAACCAGACGTCTAACTAAATATAAAGGCAGTCGGCTGCAATATAGCAGGGGCGACATAAAGCAGTCTTCCACACTCCGCCTCGTTAACAGTTCAACATATTAATGAACAGCGTAAACTTTGTATTAGAGCCGAGGACGCGAAATTGAACCGGGTAATACCGGGTTGATATTAAACCACTTGGGTCATAAATATCTAATTCGCAGCCAGGCTCATCGCGTATTATAATGGAAACTCCAGCTTCTGTTCTCTAATGAATGCAGCCTCGGTGCAATATAAATAAACGTAGTAACATTGTTTGCATTACCGCCTTATAATTCTTTAGACCTTGCTATCTCGCTCCAGTTTTGGCTTTGATCTCGTGACATATTGTCCTATTTTTCTCCATATGCACTAGATTGCATGCCCTAAACGTTTCGGCCTTGTCCATTTGTGGCCCGGGCCATAAACGATGGACAATTGAAAGTAATAAAGTAATGTATCTGGGCATACTTTNTATACTTTGTTGTCCCAAGTGGATGGCACAGATTGAGACGCAGTTCGTGTCGCTAGACAAACTGGAGCTATCGCCTGAATGTAGAATTGATTGGCCCATACAGAACATACAGCTATTTTACAACCACTTCAGAGCTTAAACTAGTTTTAATACATTGTAACCAAATATTTGGATATGAATATTAATAAATTGTGAACAATTAAGCTAAAGAAAAGTATCTTTAGTTCGGAATGATTCATTATAATGAGTCATTTCATTAAAATTCTTAAGCACACTTGTGAATTTATTACAATATTTTTGTAATTACAACAAACTATTAAATTTTATGAGTAGATCTAGTCAAAAACATGCTTCTGTTGTGGAATATCATGTTAATTGAATATGCCATTCAACTTTTTTGTATTTAGGTCCTTTGATTTAAAACAATGATGTAGTCGTCATGTTTTGGAAATAGGTAGGTAGGTAGTAATTTTTTTAGATGTATGAGTATAATATCGTCAGTAAATATAACAATTTTAAGATCCTTTAAATATTATCTACTATTTCGTACTCTATTTGTTATCGTTGTCCTAAATCTATATATATAAAAGAAAGTCGTGTTAGTTACACCACTTATAATAACTCAAGAACGGCTGAACCGATTTAGCTGAAAATTGTCAGGGAGGTAGTTTAGAGCCAGGAGAAGGACATAGGATTTTTATCCCGTTCGAAATTAAAAAAAAGTCTGCTTATTTATTGCCATTAAGGCGGAACAAAGTTCGCCGGGTCAGCTAGTATCTAATAAACGAGTAAGTACTAATGGTATTATTTATAATAACGAAGTTTGATTCATAGTTAAGTCCAACAAATCAATTTATCCACTCCACATGTTTGTCTTCTGACATTAATTTGGAGGAAATATCACAGCATGTTTCAAAGTAATCTGACTCAAATTGGGAGAAAAGAATTTTTATTGGTCGGTTGACGGTCAACTCAAAGCATTATAAAACAAACGAACAACATCATATTTTACGCATTTAAGTGTACCTTTCGTAGTAACAATATTATGTGGGTTTTTATGGGGGCGTATCGAGCTACCGGTTGTTACTTAAATGCTTTCAATTCATCAATGGCTGTTACTTGTTGCTTAATATCATCGGCCTTACCTATTAAATGGTTACGCGACATAACCAATTAGTTATTAGTTTTACTTTCCCTCTTATCTTATCAGTTCTTGAACGAATTCGTCATTTTAGAATTGGAATTGAGTTTCGACGATATTAAGATTGTGTAGGTAGTCTAGTTTGAAATTATTTTTACTAAGAGTGATTTTAATCCTATGGATTTTTATGATGTGCGCAGGTGTCAAACAGAAGACGTGGGTTTGATACCGATTTAAGGCTGTAAATTTTTCANAATCCGATTTAAGGCTGTAAATTTTTCAATTGAAGAGTTACGTTCTAGGTATTTTACCTGCAACTAAAATACTAAAATATGTTTCATTAACACAATAGTTTTCTCTTTACTCTGAATTTATACTTATCAAGATCTATACAGTCCTTATTCCACTGAGTCTGCGGTTTCATGTCATTGCAACGTAATATGCAGGTGGTTTCCATTCTCTTTTTACTTAAGCTGTCGTTAGTAATTTAGTCCTTATCTTCATTAATTAGACAAACTAGCTCTCCTAATGCTTACTATGTAATTTATTTGTCGAATATCTAGCATAGTATCTTGAACCAACTGATATTTTTATTCATTTTCTTCTTTTAATCTTTGTGACGACTGAGACCAAAACCCTTGTTCAGGTGTAATTATCAGTCCTTAAAAACGTTTATTGAATGGTTAACTTAATAGGACTGACGGCTAACGAGCCTAACCCATTCGAAGCAGTCATTTAATTTATCTGCAATTTCCTAAAAAAAACTGGGAACAATTGGAAATGTCAATTGCAGTCCCATCTGGGTATTGAACCCACAACTACTACTATCACTGAATCCCGTTTTCCTTACTTATGGAGTTAAGTACCTTTTATTATGGTTAATAAAGGAAGAGCTTGTATCCTGCTTCCTAAGCACCATAATTTATTAATATTACCCCGACTACTATTAAACTAATGACGATGTTACACAACAAAGACTTTTTGCAAAGCAATTGAAGCAGCACCAATGGGATTCCTTCGCTATCTCGCACAGTGGTCCCATAAAAGAGATATTAACATCCACTAATGTCCCAACCGCATTAGCGTGACATTAAATATTACGAAATGCATTAACCATGTGCAACAGATGAAACAATTTCGGTGCACAAAAATTTTTGAGAACCAAACAAATGTTTTAAGAATTTACGAACTTCTATTCAGCGTGGCTATAAAAGTGGACATCAAAACGAATGTGACGGTCATAAAGGCAGAATTTAGTGCCCCACTGTGCAGTCTATCGTTAGAACCGAGATAGCATTATGACCAGCAAATTTTATGCAGTCATTAATTTAAGGTGGTCGTGAAATCGATTGATATGTCCATTTAGTGAGCTGTAAATGCTCGATATGCTGGTATTTGAAGCTCAATTGGATAAGCTTGCTCTAACTACGGTGACGGTAATTGGTTGGAAATTCCCTTTGATGATGCGTAATTATAGTGCTTTCTTGTTTTAATTTGTAGCTGATAGAGTTGGGAGTTAGTTTTACGTAGCAGGCTAACAAACTAACACATCATTAGTTAAATTGACATTGATTTCTTGACTACGTGTGCATGATGTTGTTGACTCTACCACTTAATGTAGATCCTTGGTGGAATTTCCACAACANCACTCAATTAAATTTTACCCCCAAATATTTAAAAATCCAAATAGTTGACTGTAATAAAAGTTAGGGAATCCTTTTGTGAACGCTTTTTTTAGGATGATATTTTAATTGGGTCAATAAAACTTAGATTTTTATCTCAGCGAGCTTGAGCTAATAAAATAAAAAGCGTTTGACATACTCAAACAAATGTGGTTAATGGTATGGTAGATTTCTTTTACTGAAGAGTAAACTTGGCATTTTGACATTATTTTCCATACTGAAACTGTCAATGTGCCAAACTTATTCTTCATTAGAGAAGCTATCCGACAGTTGAAAAATTTGCCCTTAATGAAATAGCCTAGTAAAGTAAATAGTTTAGTATCAAATTTTACCATAAAGATCCAATCTTACACAATTTAGTGGTAACTTCTATTTCGCTATAATGAAGCTATTCAGCTAAATAATACATTAATTTATACGATATGCGTGAAATTACGGACTCGCGTCTCGACAACTTAATACTCTACACCCTCCATATGCGCGGACGCATGAATTTGCGTGACTGATTTACTGTCATTTCAAATAGAGCGGTAAATTACTGGAAGGAATTTGAACATGTGTCGAATGACGACTGAAAGGAGTGGTCTAAGATGCGTAACTTGCGTATTTGATTTCATGGCTTAATAGCCACATTAATATGTGGTGAAGCTATAATATACGAGTAAATAATTCATCTGTTTCAAGTCATGTGCCTAGTCTATTTTATTTATTTGAGATTTCAATGAAATGTTTCTATATTTTAAATTGTGTACCATGTAGAGCGTTTGGGTTTGCAACTCTACACAATGACGTCGGATTTCAGCTCTGTCCTTGATGCATTTCCCCTTAATCTTTTCCAAGATTAATTTCGAAGAAAACCGACGAAATTTTGTTAAAGTCTACGGTCAGACATTCATTGACATTTTCTTTGTTTCCTGCAGGTTGTTGGCCGAGAAGGAGTGCTAGCTTCAACAGCCACACGTGAACTCCACTGTGGCAGAAGACTGGTGTCAGGCCTGTTCTCCCGGCCGCGACTGCCGCTCGGCTACTCGTACGTGACGACGGTGCCGCGCGGGGCCTGCCGCCTCAACGTCTCCGAGATCGTGCCCAGTGACAACTACATCGGTTAGTATGCGCAGTCTGTGACAGACTAGTACGGGACTGTTCTCCCGGCCGCGGCTGCCGCTCGGCTACTCGTACGTGACATAATAATGACTGAAAAAGCGATAGTGTAGAAACGTAAAACATAATGCACGCCAATATCACAAATCATAATTTATTTTAATGAATGATAAAAGCGGTTGCTCAATATAAAATAAATAATACGTACTTCAATAATGTTCTCCATCTGTCCGACCAAATGCATTAATAAGGCAACATTGAATATAGGTTTTAAATTGGCGAGAGTGGCCTATCTTTAATGGTTGTAACTAAATAGTCCTTGTGCCAAATCTTTCTATTAATAATGATGTCAATATCGATCCCGATCGGTGTATCGATTGGTGAAATAGTAGGTCAGAAGGAGCGATCTTAATCGAGAGATGAAGTGTCCAGTGGTGCAAAGATCGATGTCGGATCGATTAAGAATTGCAGCGATGTGCAAGCGCATCTCTTTAATAGCGGCGCCTACGCGACAATAATTGCAGGATAAATGGAAGCCGACGTCTTCTACAATTGCCTGATAATTATTACACGACGCAGCGAGTAACTTCGTTGCCGTACTCATTTGTGTTCAGCGTTTATTGTAGAAATGTAAAATGGTTTGGTCCTTGGCATCTTTCTTGATTTAGCTGGGTACTTTATTACCTCTATAAAGTAATTTTAAAGAAATTAAATTTCTTTTTTTTATTTCCAGCCTTGAAAGTGACGAATGGTTCGTACATCATGAACGGGGAGTTCGCAGTCAGCGCCCCCGGGACGTACGAGGCGGCCGGGGCCCGGTTCACTTATTCCCGCACCGCTGGCCTGGACAACGTCTTCGCCCTCGGCCCTATACACCATCCCATCGACATTATGGTACGGCTTTATGTGTCTTAGTATTTCGATTTAACCAGAAGACGTCCACTGCTAGAAGGCCTCCCCCAATGATTTCCACAACGACCGGTCCTGTGTTGCTTCATTGATCAAGATGTCACGAATTGCATAAAAAATATTGATCACTGGTTTGTAATCAACGACTTAACTGCTTTGCTTCTCGACGGTGATTAGTTTATCACCGAAGAGAAATTCACTAGTAGTTATTTCCAGCTTTGGCCAAATTCTCTAAGCTTAAGCTATTTGCCCCCATTTAGGACTTGACTCAGACGCTCAGAGTCGTTCTCGAGCTAAACGTTTAAACGCTTTTTAACTAATCTAATCATTTAATTCCCTTTCGTTTGTTGTTTTATCTTTTGTTTGCCATTTTTAATTTTCCAAAATTGTTCTCAGATTCTCTACACACAACCGAATCCGAACATAAAGTACGAGTTTCTAACAGACTCCGAGCCTGAAGAAAGCAACGACATTCCGATGAGCAGCCAGCCGGCCCACCACTTGCCGAGGCACCACCGGCATCACCCCGAAACGCACAAGAAAGACCTCGACCATTCGAAATCGGAATCTTCGTTGTCGAAGCATCCAGATTTCAGCGCGTTAGAAAGCCAATCACAGATCGAAAGCAATGTGATCGGTGATAGAAAATTTGTATGGAAGATTCTGTCGTTCACGCAATGCTCCAGGACTTGCGGTGGGGGGTTACAGATAGGGAAGTTCAAATGCGTGGAGGTAACTGGGAAGGAGGATAAGGAGGTGTCTTCGGCGTATTGCACGGGTGCTCCGCCCCCGACTCGGCGGCGTCGGTGTGGGGGCGCCCCTTGTCCCCCAAGGTGGAGGGCGGCGGCCTGGGGCGCCTGCCCTGTCTGCGGACCTGCCCAAAGGACCCGCATCGTTGGCTGCGTTCAGGACCACGCTAGAGGAATCACGAAGGTCAGTTGTTACAAAATAATGCTATGATCTCATTAAAAGTGTAATAATGGAATCATAAAGACTTCCATTATTAAAGACACGAATTGTATATTGTAAAGAGAGATCACATTGAGACACAGAATTTATAAAGGCGTAAGTAGATAATATGCTATATATCCTATTTAATTTGAATGTGATTGAAAGTAATTGATGCTAAGATTAATTTCCTTCTTCAGATAAGTGATCAAAAGTGCCCCCTGCCAATGCCGCCGAGCAGTGAACCATGTGATATTCCCAACTGCGACGGGACCCCCGTGGCCCCCGCCGAAAGTCCTCGTCTCGACACCCGCCGGCAAGTGAGGCCCAAGGACCGCACCGATGCCTTCCACGATGGGCCAGTCATATCGTTAGCCACCAACTTCACGGAAAATGACGTCACTCCAGTCATGTCGCCGAATTACAACTTCAACGCTGCTGGAGGCTGGTTGTACACGGAGTGGTCAGAGGTGAGAATTAAGAAATTATACTAATCTTAATAATTATTCATGGGATAGGTGACTGAAAGCTATTTTATTCATATTACATCACCTTTGATTTGCGTAACGCTAACTACTAACGATACTTACTTTGACCGTAACTATAACAATAACCGGTGCTTTTTGTATGGAGTTTGACAGATTTTTGACGTTTGTTAAAGCTAAAGAAGACGGAACAACTCAGCCTTAAAATGACTGTAACTAGAAAATTCTGCAGAATATAAAGGAAAATTATTAACTTTCCAGTTTTTGTCGACCTAAACTAGGTATACGATGTAAAATTGCGATACCAAGTATAAAAACTTCAATTCTTTTCAATTTACCCTAGAAACTAACTTTTTATTACAGACTTTTAATTACATTATGAATAAATATCCTCAATTTGCAGTGATATGAAAACTGGTTTAGTAACCAAGAAGGCTATAATTTACGTTATTATTTAACCGACTTCTTATCACTAGTTTTTTATGTATCACGTCTGCTCTACTTCTCAGAGTAACTTGACCTGTCGGTTAAAAATGCTATATACCGAGTATCATAAAACGATGGCCTTAAAAAAGAACTTTCTTGGGATCACTACGTTCGCATGCCATAATTTCTACAAACGAGGCAGCTATCCATTGAAATAACTATCAAATAAAAAAATAGTCAAATAGTAACAAAGGTCCTTTGAAAAAGTAAAACTAAAGCTTATAGCAAGTTGACTCTAATAATTATGACCATTTAAGTATATCTTATGTTTCTGACATTAGCCACAGATCTCTGGCAGAGATGCACCATCTTAATGTAACTACGAGTAGATATTGAAAATTTGTACATTATAAATAAATTTCTTATTCTTATTCTTAACTTTGACAAACGTCAAAAATTTATCATACTCCATACAAAAACCACCAGTTATCGTTACAGTTACGATTATCGTTTTAGTTAGGTGGTGCAACTCAGCCTAGTATTCGTACTTGCAAAATAAAGAGTTTAAAATCCGAACGAGTTATAGAGTTGTAGCTTGGATTTGTAGTCACAGAGCCCTTGTTAAATGTGTCCAGCTCGCTATTTTTTATTAGTTTGTTTCTCTTCTTTGTGTTTTTGTTCACGTTATTCATAATCACGCAGTGCGTTGGCTGGTGCGTCGGCGGCGGCGTGCAATCGCGCGGCGTGCGGTGCGCGGAACCAGGCGGGTGTAGCACGCGTGCGCCTGTTTCCACCCAAACATGCTCGCCTAGGAAGCAGTGCGACGCGCAGTGGTTCACCAGTAAGTTTGGTGCACTTTAATCCAGTTGTTTTTTCATCATCATCATCATCATCAACTCCATAGGACGTCCATACTGAACATAAGCTTCCCCCAATGATTTCTAGATTGGTCGCTTTGTAGTGGCCTGCATCCAGGTCATCCCTTTAAGTGGATGACGTCTTTACACCTAAGCTATGCTTGCCCGTACGTGGCCTCCAGTCTAGAACCTTACTGCCCGATCGGCCTTCAGTTCTGCGTGCTATAATGTGCCCTGCCCATTGCCATTTCAGCTTGCTAATCCGTTGGGCTATTGTCAGCGACTATAATTCGTTTTCGGATCTCCTCATGTCTATGCTCAGTAACAATAAGGCTCCCCTAGTCCCGTGGTTCAGTAGGGACCTACTTAGAAGTAGCCACGTGATGCGAAAAGACTCTCCAAACTTGAATGCATTTCACGCATAGACATTGATTGTGAATCTAAAGTTGAAATTCATAGTTGAAACTCCTCAAAAACTCACAAATTAAAATTTTAAACACATCAAACAGCAAGCTACCGCCAAAATGTCGACGATTTTTATTAGAAATCCCCCTAGATTACATAAGATGCGCTTAAGCCTTGTCTATTCGTACCCACGCAGACTTGAGAATTGACGGGTGGCAGTTACAAGTAATCCTATCATACGCTACTTTCGCTAATCTGCTCAATTTATCTGCAGTAAGATCTCCTGATTTATTGAACGCGACTCGCCCATAAATTAAAGAGCGTTTTGCACTGCCTTCGACAACTGAATTAAAACTGGTGTGTTACAGATCACAGATCATAATATAGATAGTGTATGTGCTCTTAATTAGTTATGTCTTTTCTATAAATTACTTTGATGAAGGCATGATTTATGCTGATGTGTAAAGATAATAAGTTCCAAGAGGAATTAGCATTGATACTCGTTTCAATTAGTTTAATCATTTTACTTATCTTCATATGATTTCTTTCCCTTTTGCTGTAAACCCATGGCAACTTAAACTGACTACAAAAACATGTTTACTTGTTGTAACCATAAGGGCGAGCAGCGTAAGATTGCTGGGTATCATCCAGCCAGGTGTTCCAATATGAATCTGGAAATCATCAGAAATAATTTTTCTTTGTTGATAATAATCGAACTTCTTTCTGTTGAAATTCAACCCTGTACCTATAATTTTTACCAAACTGGGCCTGGTTGGGAATTTGTCACTTTTTGGGAGCTTGATGCCATGTCTTATTGAGGGAATTGAACCATTATACTATGGACATATGAACATACAACTCTTCATCCAGGTGAATGGTCAGCGTGCTCCGCCCCTTGCGATGGGCGTCAAGTGCGAGGCGTCATTTGCATCGGAGGGAACGGCAGGAGACTCAGGGACGGTTCCTGCAGGACCCTCAAACCTGAGACTGAGAGGGCCTGTGGAGGAACCTGCGCTCCTTCGTGGTACTTGAGCGATTGGAGTCAGGTTAGTGGTAACATTTTATTATCGTTGGAAAAAGCACATCACCGTTTTCTTAATCACCTTTTGAAAAGTTCTTGCCGAGACCTTCTTTTAAGAATTCAAACATTCTAATGTTAGTATGAATATAATATTAGTCCATCTAAAAATCTAGTCGTAATGTAGGCCTGTAGGCCTAGGATGCGCGCCGCGATAAGCTTTTATCACGCCGTTTTATCGATTTTACGCGATAAGCCCATAATTTGTCGTCTAAAATCATCTATAAGATTTCATCACGGCACGCATCCTAGCCCGGCTGCTATGAGGTAATTTTAGATAGATACTAATGAATGAAGATTACATTGGTTAGTAGCCGATGTGCCTACAGTGCTAATTTTACCCTTAATTAAGACAAAGTTGTAAAATCACGTAAACATTGCATTGAACAGAAACCTTATGAATCACAAACCTACAATTCTCATAATATCAAAATAGCACATAGGCTTTAATTATTTAAATTGGAACTAACGATACCTCTCAAGCCGTCTAGGCTACAGAACTACTGCTACTAAGGCAAATTGTTATTCAAATCTAGGAGGACTCATTCACAAGACAACCAAAGCCTAGTTATATGAATTTTTATTTCAGTGTGAAGGCCCATGCGAAGCGGGAGTGCAAACTCGCACAGTATGGTGTGCGAAGGGGGGAGAGAAGGGTGCGGGAGGGGCGGCGCGTGACGCAGAGTGCGCGGGCGTCAGGCCTGCTGCTCGAAGAACTTGTGTGCCTTCCCGCTGCTCTACTAAGCCCGTCGCCAGGCCTAGGGTTGAACCCCAACCGCCTTCTGGTAAGAACCTTCTTCGTCTTTCTTCTTCTTCTAAGAAGCAGAGGTGCGCGCATGGTGTGATGTGCGAGAGAGAGAGAGAGATGCGGAGTACGCGGGCGTCAGGCCTGCCGCTGGAAGAACCTGCGTGCTTTAACGCTGCTCTACTAAGCCCGTCGCCAGGCCTAGGGTTGAACCCCAACCGCCTTCTGGTAAGAACCTTCTTCGTCTTTCTTCTTCTTCTAAGAAGCAGAGGTGCGCGCATGGTGTGATGTGCGAGGGAGAGAGAGAGATGCGGAGTACGCGGGCGTCAGGCCTGCCGCTGGAAGAACCTGCGTGCTTTAACGCTGCTCTACGAAGCCCGTAGCCAGGCCTAGGGTTGAACCCCAGCCGCCTTCTGGTAAGAAACTTCTTCGTCTTTCTTCTTTTTCTAAGAAGCAGAGGTGCGCGCATGGTGTGATGTGCGAGGGAAAGAGAGAGATGCGGAATGCGCGGGCGTAAGACCTGCCGCTCGAAGAACCTGCGTGCCTTCCCGCTGCTCTACGAAGCCCATCGCCAGGCCTAGAGTTGAACCCCAACCGCCTTCAGGTAAGAAACTTCTTCGTCTTTCTTCTTCTTCTAAGAAGCAGAGGTGCGCCTATAGTATGGTGTGCGAAGGGAGGAGAGAAGGGTGCGGGAGGGGCGGCGCGTGACGCAGAGTGCGCGGGCGTCAGGCCTGCTGCTCGAAGGACCTGCGTGCCTTCCCACTGCTCTACTAAGCCCGTCACCAGGCCTAGGGTTGAACCCCAGCCGCCTTCTGGTAAGAACCTTCTTCGTCTTTCTTCTTCTTTTATGAAGCGGGGGTACAGACTCGCACAGTATGGTGTGCGAAGGGGGGAGAGAAGGGTGCGGGAGGGGCAGCGCGTGATGCAGAATGCGCGGGCGTCAGACCTGCTGCTCGAAGGACCTGCGTGCCTTCCCGCTGCTCTACTAAGCCCGTCGCCAAGCCTAGGGTTGAACCCCAGCCGCCTTCAGGTAAGAACCTTCTTCGTCCTTCTTCTTCATCTAAGAAGCGGGGGTGCAAACGCTCATGGTATGATGTGTGAGGGAGAGAGAGAGGGATGCGGAATGGGCGTCAGACTTGCTACTCGAAGAACCTGCGTGCCTTCCCGCTGCTCTACGAAGCCCGTCGCCAGGCCTAGGGTTGAACCCCAACCGCCTTCTGGTAAGAACCTTCTTCGTCTTTCTTCTTCTTCTAAGAAGCAGAGGTGCGCGCATGGTGTGATGTGCGAGGGAGAGAGAGAGAGATGCGGAATGCGCGGGCGTCAGGCCTGCCGCTCGAAGAACCTGCGTGCCTCCTCGCTGCTCTACGAAGCCCGTCGCCAGGCCTAGGGTTGAACCCCAACCGCTTTCTGGTAAGTGCAAGGACCCTTAGACCTGTAATCTCAGACTCATCACCATCATCATCAGGTCTTGTAGAGTCATTAATTTACCAGAAGCATATTGTGAGGTTTTTTGACAAGGAAAGAGTGGGACTTGGGAGTGATCTTATCCTATTGTACCGGACTCACTCAGTCCTGATTTTAGATCTCATTGATACATCAGATCTCTTGAGTCATTGAACTTATGTACCTATCAATCTAGGCAGGGTGCAGGGTTCTGAATTGATACTTTAGGTATAGGGAGTAACGACTATGCAACGAGCTTTAATTATAACTCCTATTATTTGGTTTCAGTAACAGACCCGCAACAGCGGGTAACACGTCACCAAAGCCACAGTACACAGAATTCTAACGGTATGTATTGCAAAATGACGACCAGACTTTTCAATGTTGACTTCAATAATAAAGTCGACGTTACCGTTAGATATTGTTAATATTTTACATTAAAATGCTGCTAATTCAGTGTGTCTATAGGCTGAATCTCTACCTGTAAATTATTATGTATGTTTTCCTTACTAATAAAATTATATTGTGAAACAGGTTCATGCACGGACAAACGCAGCAACTGCGCATTGGCCGTGCAAGCGCGGTTATGCCACTACCCCTACTACGCCGAGTACTGCTGCCGCTCCTGCCACGGACGGGCGTAGCGCGGTAAGTGTAGTTCATTATAGATTCGATTAAAATCGTTTGGTAAGTGCTCTTAATTAGGATTTCTGAACAAGTGCGGATGGAATACTGCCGGTATCACTTTACTGTAGTACCTACCTACTGTAGGCGGTAGGGCAAGCTATATTTGGGACATGTATAAAGCCTTGGAAAGAGCCTGAGTACTGAATAATAGCTTTGATTTTGACTGCTACCGCTTAGGCTTAACGCGTTATAATAAGAATTAAATAATAATGACGAAAGTCTGTGATATGAAATTGCTGCTGCTTCTACTACGATCAGAAGAAGCGCGGTGAGAGTCGTTATAATTGAAGGTTGATTACGTAGCTACAATGCCCTTCGTAAAATGACTAGACAAGTGACACCTACTGCTGGTTACGTGTTATTCCAATTGAGTCCTATCTACATTAGGACATACCTATTATGAACTATGATAGGACTCAAAAAATCTGCCAGAATGAAAAAAAGAACGTCAATGTAACACTGACGATTTTCTTGTTTTAATTACGTGTCTCTACGTAACGTATTATGAATAAGCACTTACAGGGCAGATGTGCGCCATCCTAGACTGCATCTCACTTAGCATCAGGTGCGATTGGGCGGGCAAATACCTGCCTTGTTCTGCATAAAAAAATATTAAGCTTCATTTTCAATTTCCGCAGGTTGGCACGTTGGAACATCGGCGCTATGACACGTATTGTGATACAAAGTGGACACATAGTGAGATACGTACCTAATCTATAGCTGCGACGATCAAATGGTTCCTCGCCGCTTCCACGGGGGATTAGAGGTGTTTCCTAAAACTTATACAAACAAAACCAAAGAAATTTTAATGTGTTCGCAGAGANCCACAACAATTACAAAAATTTAAAAAGCACTCAATTAAATTTGACACCCAAATATTTAAAAATCCAAATAGTTGACTGTAATAAAAGTTAGGGAATCCTTTTGTGAAAGCTTTATTTAGGATGATATTTTAATTGGGTCAATAAAACTTAGAATTTTATCTCAGCGAGCCTGAGCTAATAATAAAAAGCGTTTGTCTGTCGCACAAAATGTTAGCTTTAAATTTAACTAGCTTAAAAGTTTAGTATCGAATTTTTCCATAAAGATAAAATCTTACACAATTTAGTGGTAACTTCTATTTCGCTATAATGAAGCTATTCAGTTAAATAAAACATTAATTTATACGATATGCGTGAAATTACGGACTCGCGTCTCGACAACTTAATACTCTACACCCTCCATATGCGCGGACGCATGAATTTGCGTGACTGATTTACTGTCATTTCAAATAGAGCGATAAATTACTGGAAGGAATTTGAACATGTGTCGAATGACGACTGAAAGGAGTGGTCTAAGATGCGTAACTTGCGTATTTGATTTCATGGCTATTAACGTGTAGCTTTATCATACGAGTAATAATAATTCCTCTATCTATTTCAAGTAATGTAATTAGTCTATTTAATTTGAGTTTTCAATGAAATGAAAAAAATCATCCTTGTAGAGCATTTGGTAGTGCCATTCTACACAATGATGTCGGATTTCAGCTCTGTCCTTGATGCATTTCCCCTCAATCTTTTCCAAGATTAATTTCGAAGTAAAACAAAATTTTGTTGATGTCAAGTTCAGATATTCATTGTCATTTTCTTTGTTTCCTGCAGGTTGTTGGCCGAGAAGGAGTGCTAGCTTCAACAGCCACACGTGAACTTCACTGTGGCAGAAGACTGGTGTCAGGCCTGTTCTCCCGGCCGCGGCTGCCGCTCGGCTACTCGTACGTGACGACGGTGCCGCGCGGGGCCTGCCGCCTCAACGTCTCCGAGATCGTGCCCAGTGACAACTACATCGGTTAGTATGCGCAGTCTGTGACAGACTAGTACGGGACTGTTCTCCCGGCCGCGGCTGCCGCTCGGCTACTCGTACGTGACATAATAATGACTGAAAAAGCGATAGTGTAGAAACATAAAACATAATGCACGCCAATATCACAAATCATAATTTATTTTAATGAATGATAAAAGCGGTTGCTCAATATAACATAAATAATACGTACTTCAATAATGTTCTCCATCTGTCCGACCAAATGCATTAATGAGGCAACATTGAATATAGGTTTTAAATTGGCGAGAGTGGCCTATCTTTAATGGTTGTAACTAAATAGTCCTTGTGCCAAATCTTTCTATTAATAATGATGTCAATATCGATCCCGATCGGTGTATCGATTGGTGAAATAGTAGGTCAGAAGGAGCGATCTTAATCGAGAGATGAAGTGTCCAGTGGTGCAAAGATCGATGTCGGATCGATTAAGAATTGCAGCGATGTGCAAGCGCATCTCTTTAATAGCGGCGCCTACGCGACAATAATTGCAGGATAAATGGAAGCCGACGTCTTCTACAATTGCCTGATAATTATTACATGACGCAGCAAGTAACTTTGTTAAAGAAATTAAATATCTTTTTTTTTATTTCCAGCCTTGAAAGTGACGAATGGTTCGTACATCATGAACGGGGAGTTCGCAGTCAGCGCCCCCGGGACGTACGAGGCGGCCGGGGCCCGGTTCACTTATTCCCGCACCGCTGGCCTGGACAACGTCTTCGCCCTCGGCCCTATACACCATCCCATCGACATTATGGTACGGCTTTATGTGTCTTAGTATTTCGATTTAACCAGAAGACGTCCACTGCTAGGCCTCCCCAATGATTTTCACAACGACCGGTCCTGTGTTGCTTCATTGATCAAGATGTCACGAATTGCATAAAAAAATATTGATCACTGGTTTGTAATCAACGACTTAACTGCTTTGCTTCTCGACGGTGATTAGTTTATCACCGAAGAGAAATTCACTAGTAGTTATTTCCAGCTTTGGCCAAATTCTCTAAGCTTAAGCAATTTGCCCCCATTTAGACTTGACTCAGACGCTCAGAGTCGTTCTCGAGCTAAACGTTTAAACGCTTTTTTTAAAGTAAAGTAAAGTAATCAAATCATTTAATTCCCTTTTGTTTCTTGTTTTATTTCCAGATTGCTAATTCTTTGATTTTCAGATTCTCTATACACAACCGAATCCGAACATAAAGTACGAGTTTCTAACAGACTCCGAGCCTGAAGAAAGCAACGACATTCCGATGAGCAGCCAGCCGGCCCACCACTTGCCGAGGCACCACCGGCATCACCCCGAAACGCACAAGAAAGACCTCGACCATTCGAAATCGGAATCTTCGTCGTCGAAGCATCTAGATTTCAGCGCGTTAGAAAGCCAATCACAGATCGAAAGCAACGTGATCGGTGATCGAAAATTTGTATGGAAAATTCTGTCGTTCACGCAATGCTCCAGGACTTGCGGTGGGGGGTTACAGATAGGGAAGTTCAAATGCGTGGAGGTGACTGGGAAGGAGGATAAGGAGGTGTCTTCGGCGTATTGTACTGGAGCTCCGCCCCCGACTCGGCGGCGTCGGTGTGGGGGCGCCCCTTGTCCCCCAAGGTGGAGGGCGGCGGCCTGGGGCGCCTGCCCTGTCTGCGGACCTGCCCAAAGGACCCGCATCGTTGGCTGCGTTCAGGATCACGCTAGAGGAATCACAAAGGTCAGTTACATGTACTATGAACCCTCTTTAACACAATTAATAGCATGCGATAGATCATAATGCCGTCGAACACTGAAGGAAGAGATGATTTTGTAAATTGAGGCATGGAATTTAGGAAGTCTTAAATACATAAGATCAATCGAAATGTAATGATTATTCAAATATTTTGATACGAATTCCACAATGTATGTTTTTTACACTATAGCCATTTGTGAGTTCTTGCTACAATTACCTTCTCCAGATAAGTGATCAAAAGTGCCCCCTGCCAATGCCGCCGAGCAGTGAACCGTGTGACATTCCCAACTGCGACGGGACCCCCGTGGCCCCCGCTGAAAGCCCCCGTCTCGACACACGTCGCCAAGTGAGGCCCAAGGACCGCACCGATGCCTTCCACGATGGGCCAGTCATATCCCTGGCTACCAACTTCACGGAGAATGACGTCACTCCAGCAATGTCGCTGAATTACAACTTTAACGCTGCTGGAGGCTGGTTGTACACGGAGTGGTCAGAGGTGAGAGTTAAGAAATTATCCTGATCTTATTATTTATTCATGGGATAGGCGACTCAAAGCTATTTTATTCATATTACATCGCCTTTGATTTGCGCAACGCTAACCGCTAACGATACTAACTTTGACCGTAACTATAACAATAACCGGTGCTTTTTGTATGGAGTTTGACAGATTTTTGACGTTTGTTAAAGCTAAAGAAGATGGAGCGACTCAACCCTTAAAATAATTGTAACTAGAAAATTCTGCAGAATATAAAGGAAATTATTAACTTTCCAGATTTTGTCGACCTAAACTAGGTATACGATGTAAAATTGCGATACCTAGATTAAAAAGTTCAGTTCTTTTCAATTTACCCTACAAACTAACTTTCTATTACAGACTTTTAATTACATTATTATATGATAAATATCCACAATTTGCAGTGATATGAAAACTGGTTTAACAACCAAGAAGGCTATAATTTACGTTATTATTTAACCGACTTCTTATCACTAGTTTTTTATGTATCACGTCTGCTCTACTTCTCAGAGTAACTTGACCTGTCGGTTAAAAATGCTCCGAGTATCATAAAACGATAGCCTTAAAAAGGAACCTTCGTATTATCGGATCACTACGTTCGCATGTCATAATTTCTACAAACGAGGCAGCTATCAAATCAAAAAAAGTTGTCAAATAGCAACAGTGGTCCTTTGAAAAAGTAAAACTGAAGCTTAAAGCAAGTTGACTCTAAAGACCATTTATGTCTTAGGTGTCTGACATTAGCAATACATTTCATGTACGTTTCAGATTTCAATAGAACCAGAATCAATAGATCTCAGTATTCGTACTTGCAAAATAAAGTTTTAAAAATCCGAACGAGATAGAGAGTTGTAATCACGGAGCCCTTAGGCGGTTATCACACTGCGCCGCGCTCCGCCGCGGAGCGCGTGATTTTCATATAAAAAATCACGCGCGCGGACGCGTTGTCAGTGTGAAGTGCCGCGCGTGTTTTCTATACAAACTGAGGTACTGGCATACAATGATTAAATCTGTCTCCCCGCGCTCCGCGGCGGAGCGCGACGCAGTGTGATAACCGCCTTATTCAATGAGTCCAGCTCGCATTTGACATTTATAATTTATTCATTTGTTTCATTTTCTTTTTATTCACATTTTTCATAATCGCGCAGTGCGTTGGCTGGTGCGTCGGCGGCGGCGTGCAATCGCGCGGCGTGCGATGCGCGGAGCCTGGAGGATGTAGCACGCGCGCGCCTGTCTCCACGCAAACATGCTCGCCTAGGAAGCAGTGCGACGCGCAGTGGTTCACCAGTAAGTTTGGTCACAATATAGGAGTTTGGTGCACTTTAATCAATTGGTATATCACATCATCATCATCATCATACTTTCAGCCATAAGACGTCCATACTGAACATAGGCAATCTCAATGATTTCCATATAGACCGGCTGGTAGTAGCCAGTAGCATCCAGCGCCTTCCTTTATGAGGGCATCCTTATGGGTGGACGTCCTAAGCTGCGCTTGCCCGTACGTGGCCTCCAGTCTTGAACCTTACTGCCCCATCGGCCTTCAGTTCTGCGTGCTATAATGTGCCCTGCCCATTGCCACTTCAGCTTATTAATCCGTCGGGCTATGTCAGCGACTATTTCGTTTTTGGATCTCCTCATTTCTATGCTCAGTAACAATATGGCTCCCGTAGTCCCGTGGTTCAGTAGGTACATACTCGTAAGTAGGTATGTACCTACTAAGAATTTTTTCTCTCTTGAAAAAACTCTCCAAACTTGAATCCATTTCACGCATAGACCTTAGATTGGCTGAATCTAATGTTCAAATTCAGATTTAAAAGTCCTCGGAAACTCTCAATTTAAAATTTGAAACACATCAAAACAGCAAGCTACCGTCAAAATGTCGACGATTTTTATTAGAAATCCCCCTAGATTACATAAGATGCGCTTAAGCCTTGTCTATTCGTACCCACGCAGACTTGAGAATTGACGGGTGGCAGTTACAAGTAATTATCATACGCTACTTTCGCTAATCTGCTCAATTTATCTGCAGTAAAATCTCCTGATTTATTGAACGCGACTCGCCCATAAATTATAGAGCGTTTTGCACTGCCATCGACAACTGAATTAAAACCGGTGTGTTACAGATCACAGATCATAATATAGATAGTGTATGTGCTCTTAATTAGTTATGTCTTCTCTATAAATTACATTAATGAAGGCATGATTTATGCTGATGTGTAAAGATAATAAGTTCCAAGAGTAATTGGCATTGATTTTTTAATCATTTCTTATCTTTGTAAGGCTTCTTCCCCTTTTGCTGTAAACCCATGGCAACTTAACCCTAGAGTAGTCGCGCCTTTCCGTGAAACGTGAGTGCTCGCGTATGAGCATTTTGCCGCCTAAACTTAAAGTCCGGTTGTGTGTCAAATAACAGTTTAAAAATATGAAAATCAGTTAAAAATGATAGAATAAAGCATACACTATTAGAAAATAGCGCATATTAAAGATTTGTGGTTAAAATTTAAAGAAAAAAAAATATTTTGGAAATGTTAGGAAATATTTATAGAAATCTTAGAAACACTATTGTTTTTACCTACATACATCATCAAATATTAAACTTATTAGCACACTTAAAGGTTTTCCTTACATATGACATGTGCTTCAACAAAACAGGCCTGTCACATGTGCATTTAATGTGCGTTGCACAGTAAATTTGCACAACTATTGCACCCATGGCACATCATCTTCAGAATCTGCCGCTGATTGTTCTATAACAGTATTGTAATGACTATGTTTACTTTCTTCATAACTTTAGTATACATTTTCCACTAATTTTAGTGCACCAGCTTCTTTGAAATCCGACCTCTTCCTTGTTTTTTCATTTTTTGTATTTTACGTGAATTTTACCGAAAACGACATGAAATAAATTAAGCACTTATAGTAATTATCAATGTTATGACGTCATTAAGGTCAAAACAACATTATACGCAATGAAAACTAATAATCTTCCAACTACACTAAAAACCAGACACACAAATTTTACTTACGTCAGTAGTCGCGCAGTGAGCAATTTGCCCCAAAACGTGACATACGTTCAACAATCGTTCTCTATTGCAGTCACCTGCGCACTAAATTTCTTCTAATTTCTAATACATGGAGGTGAAGTATGGGGAGGCAGCTACTGAAACGCTTGACTTTAACAAACGCATCGTGTAGAAAATAACTCGATTTTTTTGCCGAGGGCGGCAAATGCTCATAGCGCGAGCACTCTAGGGTTAAACTGACTACAAAAACTTGTTTACTTGTTGTAACCATTAGGGCAAGTTAACCATTAGATTTCTAGGTATTCCCAGCAATCTTACGCTAATGGATAATAATCCAGCCAGGTGTTCCAATATGAATCGTTCCAATATCGAACTTCTTTTTGTTGAAATTCAACCCAGTACTACAGTTTTTACCAAACTGGGAAGGCTAGGAATTGTTCATTGTATGACTTCGATGTCAAGGTCTCGTTCAGGAATTTCAACCATTATACTATGGAAATAGGTACCATATTAACATACACCTCTTCATCCAGGTGAATGGTCAGCGTGCTCCGCCCCTTGCGATGGGCGTCAAGTGCGAGGCGTCATCTGCATCGGAGGGAACGGCAGGAGACTCAGGGACGGTTCCTGCAGGACCCTCAAGCCTGAGACTGAGAGGGCCTGCGGAGGGACCTGTGCTCCTTCGTGGTACTTAAGCGATTGGAGTCAGGTTAGTGGTAACATTTTATTATCGTTGGAAAAAGCACATTACCGTTTTCTTAATCACCTTTTGAAAAGTTCTTACCGGGACCTATGAATATAATATCAGCCCAGCTAAAAATCTAATCGTAATGTAGGCCTGGTATGTGTTAACGTTAGATAGATACTAATGAAGATTAAATTGGTTAGTAGTAGTCCAGTCAATAAAGCATTATAGATGGAAAACTGTAGAACACAATTTCTGACTTCAGGACTTTATTTAGACTAGTTAGGAGGTGAACATAGCAAAAGTCCCCGACCTTAGCCCTTGAGCCGGCGGGGAGAGGGGGGTTTAAAGGTGCCACTATTCGGTTTTTCGCTTAATTCTCGGAAACTATGGGTCCTAGTGACATGACTACTATGAACCAAAACAAGCATATTCAATTTGCTACAGGTGAGATAGTCAACTTTTTTGATAAATTGTATAGTTTTCGCGGCATCTGCTCTAGAAGGTCTGTAATATTGGAAATTTTATTTTTGTCTTACATGTTCCCATCAGGAGAAAATCGACTAAATCAACATTGAGCAATCATTCTAGACATGCGGGAGCAAGTTAAGCCTAGTTCCAGGGAGGGGACTGCACTGTGCGTATATTTAGACGAACCACTTTAAGCCACTATTGACTCCTCATCACTCAAAAACTACTGTGCATTAACGCTTCAAATTTGGCTCATGTGTTGAGACTTGCAAGATATACATCACCTTCAAATTTCATAAATATGCCTCAAACGGTTCTTTAGGTATTGACGTCCAAAAATCTACATGTCGGACCTATAGATCAAATTCTAACCACTTCCAGATGATCTCGAAGGTTCAAATTTGGCACCCAGAAAGGTAGTTATGTAAATACAAAGGAACAAATAAAAAACCAGTAAATTTTAACATTTCACAGGTGATAGATAGATATTAGTGTTGTAAATGTCGATTTTTGAACGTCAATACCTAAATAACCCTTTGAGGTATATTTATGAAATTTAAAGCTGATGTATATCTTGTAAGTCTTAATACATGAACCAAATTTGAAGAGTTAATGCACAGTAGTTTTTGAATGATGAGGAGTCAAAAGTGGCTCCAGTTGGTTCGTCTAAATATACCCACGGTGCAGTCCCCTCTCTGGAACTAGGCTTAACATGCTCCCGCATGTCTATAGTGTTTGCTTAATGTTGATTTAGTCGATTTTCTCCTGATAGGAACATGTAAGACAAAAATAAAATTTCCAATTTTACAGACCTTCTAGAGCAGATGCCGCAAAAACTATACAAGATATAGAAAAACTTGACGGTCTCGCCTGTAGCAAATTGAATAAGCTTTTTTTGGTTCATAGTAGTTATGTCACTAGGACGCATAGTTTCCGAGGATTAAGCGAAAAACCGAAAAGTGGTACCTTTAAACCCCCCTCTCCCTGCCGGCTCAAGGGCTAAGGGCGGGGACTTTTGCTATGTTCACCACCTAGCTAGGCTAAAGAAAGTCCCGAGGTCAGAAATTGTGTTCCATGGATTTCTCTCTACACCGTCGTTAAGGCATTCATTGACTGGACTATAGCCGATGTTCCTAAGGTGCTAATTTTACCTTTAATTAAGACAATGTTGTAAAACCGCGTACACATAACACTCGCATTGAACATACTATGAATCATATTTTCGAATAAGCTTGCACGATCGAATAGTTTACCAATAATAATTATTTTAATTCTTACGAAACCTCCTGTCGTTTATATTTACCAAAGAAATAAACCCTCCTTCATATTGAGTGTACCTACCTAGCCTAAATTTTATCCACATCTAGATGGACTCGGGTCGCGGGAAAAACCCTAGCATACAAACTATTCTTTATTCCAGTGCGAAGGTCCATGCGAAGCGGGGGTACAAACTCGCACAGTATGGTGTGCGAAGGGGGGAGAGAAGGGTGCGGGAGGGGCGGCGCGTGACGCAGAGTGCGCGGGCGTTAGACCTGCTGCTCGAAGAACCTGCGTGCCTTCCCGCTGCTCTACTAAGCCCGTCGCCAGGCCTAGGGTTGAACCCCAACCGCCTTCTGGTAAGAACCTTCTTCGTCTTTCTTCTTCTTCTAAGAAGCAGAGGTGCGCGCATGGTATGATGTGCGAGGGAGAGAGAGAGAGATGCGAAATGCGCGGGCGTCAGGCCTGCCGCTCGAAGAACCTGCGTGCCTTCCCGCTGCTCTACGAAGCCCGTCGCCAGGCCTAGGGTTGAACCCCAACCGCCTTCAGGTAAGAAACCTTCTTCGTCTTTCTTCTTCTTCTAAGAAGCAGAGGTGCGCGCATGGTGTGATGTGCGAGGGAGAGAGAGAGATGCGGAATGCGCGGGCGTAAGACCTGCTGCTCGAAGGACTTGCGTGCCCCCACGCTGCTCTACGAAGCCCGTCGCCAGGCCTAGGGTTGAACCCCAGCCGCCTTCAGGTAAGAACCTTCTTCGTCTTTCNCGCAGAGAGGCACTGCGTTTTGTATAAGAGCAGTTCAAATATACGTTTTCTACCGCACCTATTTCAATTATATGCCATGGTCAAGCATGATAATATAACATTGTCCGTACAACTCGATTGAGCTAACTACGCACCTCGCTGGAATGCGACTCTTCTTTCCACTTACCTCCCCGCGGTCGCCCCGTCTGTACCAGAGCGTCGATGTGACGTCACGGCTTCCAAGTGCGCAGTTTACTCTACCGTATTGTACTATATACCAATCGAGGCTTCATAACTATCTTTATAAACAGCTATCAATGATGACTTCATAGGATGATGCATAATAATTATGCACGGACTAGATAAGATTAAAATTACTGCAAGTCTTACGTACCTCTGTAATGAACATTGAAATGTCTTTGGAAAAGTGCAGGAAAGTGAGGGGCTTATACATTTATTTTACGACGATTTATCTAGAGATAATAAGTGCCAAATAGTTTACGGAATTTACAGTTTTGCTGATGTAATTGTGTCAACAATTATACAAAAGATATTTCCGTAAATTGAGCTATCAATTTTAAGTTCGTCGTAATATAAATGTATAGTAAACAATGACGTACCATTTGGGATGATCTATCCCGTTATTTTTTCAATAATATTTTAAGGTATATTCACATTGTATCAAGACTTGTCATAAATATGTTATACCTGATGACAGACATAATAATTTACTGGTTTCCGAGCAGATGTGAATGTACCTTCAACAGGGGATCCCCCGCCAACCGTAGTCGTCTATCGTCTATTTAAGTATTAGAAATAGTTCTGTGATCTCCATTTAGTCGAGTTATGGAGCTGATCTGTGGACTGTAGCTTATATTTGGTGAAAAATATTACTTTTGTGCTTATGTTTATATCTGCACAACATTTACCAAGCACCATTTTAGAGTTGTCAAAAGTTCAACTTTCAACGTAAAAGTACTTATAAAGTTTTCATAAAATAGCGCGACTATCTTAAATTAAGTGAGTGAATGTACATAATGTTTGGTAATAAAAATGTTATTTACCAATTACATTAAATGAACGTTAAACTCTTGCATTACATAAGGTATGTTTGTGAAAATTGTGTAAAATAGTTACAGTTATCTATGACCTTTTTGTAAATTAAATTTGGTCGTACATATTACAATACAAACTTGCCTGTATTTTAACTAATTTCGAATATTATGCTTAGCTTTTAATACTGCAGTTACATCGCAAAATTTTCAAAGTAAATGTATGTTATGGCAGCTTATCAAAACCATTTTATTGTGACTTAATCTTAGCAGCAGATTTTTATTAAAGCATAATATTTCTCGAAACCATCAGTTGCGTATTCAATCAAAATAGACTAAGATATTGGTGTTTTAACCTATGTACTACATAGTTAGATTAAGAACGAATAGTATTTTTAATTATTAGTGAACAATCAATTTTATTATAAATGCATTCAAAAGGTCACATGAACCAATCTAAAAATAAGTAAAATTAAATAAAAAGATACGTTCATTGACTTTTTGCATCCTTAGAAACTATGACAAGTGTTCATAATTTATTTTGCTGATTCAATATAATATCAAAGAGTATATTTTGTAGAATTAAAATGTAAATATTTAATTTTATATGTATAGTGCATTTACTTACGGGCTGTTAAGTATTTATATGACTTAAATAAACTTGGTACCATCACAATAAATAATTAATCAGTTTGCAAACATAATATCAGTTTCTTTTAATCTGTCAGTACTAATGATGCGTATAACATTGTACAAAAAATTAATAAGCTTTAAACACTCATTTTTTGTTTCTTTTTTAAAAACAATCCCAATTTTAACTCCTGCATTTCAGAAAAAATTGTCTCTTGCATTTCAAAAAATCCCAATTCAGAAATGGGACCTGAAGTATGCTTATGTACAATTTTAATCATCACCTCTCCACTAATTAAAGTACCTACTTAATTAGCTATCAATTTTAGTCAAGTGTCCTCTGAGTAGACTATAAAAGTGATGATGTCCTTCAATCGTTTGATACCTGTTTAAATTTCTGAACAGAATTAACGTTAGCACAATATCGAAATGGCCAGTGAAACTGCTACAGCCGAATTAGACTTGGTAAAAGAGGATTTTAGTACAGGAGAAGAATTACCTACAGATGAAAAACCCAAGGAATATGTGTTAAGTAAAACCTTGAGATCACTACTCAATCTCTTAACGCATGTTCTGATGATAATCACAGTGTTCATTTGTTTAGTATTCGCGTGCAAATCGCATATCGGGATTTACGAACTGCATATAATTTCGGGTGTTATTGGGGTAAGTTTTATTTGAATAGACCTAGAATTTTAGCAGTTTCACATGCCAATTAGAACTTTATTTGAGTAGAACAATAGAAAACTTTAAAAAAAACTCATCCTTCATTCTCAACCTGTGAGTGATCAAAGAGTTACCGTGTTTTCAATATTTCTATGTTGGTACTGAACCGTAACAGACTGATTANTATGGTGAAGTCAGAAATTTGATATCATCATTTTAATTTTTTTAATTTTCATACAAAATAAATTTTATAAAATCCGATTCTTAAGAAAATTAAAATAATTAAAATAAAGATATTAATTTTCTGACTTCACCATACCATTTATATGCCCATGTTAACATAGGCTAGTGTCGGCTCATATACCCATTTACCTAACACCCTGTATACATATAGGAAAATAAGCAATGGAACAATACGTAAGCATAATTGCATAAAAAAGTAAAGTAATTTCGTATAAATAAAACCGACTAAAAATTAAACTGACTCCGAAAAAGTATACACTAAAAGTAGAAAAATAATTTTACGTTATCTCCAATATTGTCGAAGTTATCGCTGGAAAACTAAACAAAGTATCGTATATTTTTTATTTAAAATTAATCAGTAATCGGAATAAGTGAATACTTAAAATAATATCGATTAAATTTACAGATTATTGTCTATGACTCGTAGGTTACAGCACTGATGTGTCAGAGACAAGTCATAGACAATATGGAGATAACCACAGATATGGATTAGAGTAGATACAGCAAGTTGATCGTCAAAGCGTGCCATTCCGATATGTCCAAATGGACATACATGGTCGAGTGATGTTCATGTAATCCGATTACAACAATCGGTTACGATGATTTTACGAGGACAGTAGTACGAACATTGTAAAAAGAAGAAATTATTTACGGATTGAGAATTGTAATTAACAGCACAAGTAACAAATAATTAATTAGAATAAAGTAGCAGTAGAAGAAGTATAAAGTAGCATTGTTTTTAATACATATCCTGCGATGTACTCTTAAGAGTTAAAACCATGGTCCCTGTATGTGGTGCACTCATACCGATCCCAAGGAACCGTACTTACTCATAACAATAAGACACACACTGATCCATGTATTCATGCACTTGACAAATTTATGTCTTGAAACGCTGGTAGGGTAAAAAAAATAACGAGATTTGACGATTTGTAAGAATTAATTTATTTTAAAAAGGTAAATAAAGATGTTTTTGGTTTTGTATTTAACAAATTATCAGTTTTATCGGAATTAATTAATTTTCGAATCGAGTCACACGATATCATTCGATGACTTTGCAAATGCAGTACGATGATACGATTACTTTTACGTTGCGGCAATCACTAAAATTCGCTAAAATGACACTAATGACGTTTAAAAAGTGGCACGCTCGGCTTCATACAATTTTTGACACATGCTGCATCTATCCATATCTGTGGAGATAACACAATCATGATTTTAAACGTCAAGTCAATTTGACAAGTCTCACAAATTTTCATCGTCCACGTATTTTACTAAAATAATTTGTTTCAAAGATTGATTTCAAACTTGTATGAACGTGAAAATGAAGTTGGTTTCATGGGCTTGTTAAATAATGTGTATGATATTATGAACACGTAAGTGATTATGGTGTAATTGTGTATGAAAGTGTTTGTTTACATCTCTGCTGGATTCTAAAAAATCAAGGTATAAAGGACAGCTGTTAAGTGAAAATATACGGTTCGTGAGAGATCTATGTTTTCATAGAGATTGTACATAGGTAGGTAGGTGTTTAGCTTCGGACTGAACCTATTTTCTTTCTTTTCATTGCGGGAAAAGTATCAGTGAACTTTCTCCTCCTCTTTAATTTGCAACTGCTGGAGGGAATATTACCAGGCAGTGCTCGCTCGTATTCTTTTGAAAATATACAGAAACAGTAGTAGCAATGCTAACTTAGTTACAATTTCGATACATGAACGAGACATAGGCATAATGAGATTTTTTGTTAGGTTACACTTATAATCTGAGGATACACCAGTTACACAAAGTTTTTTTTTTTGGAAGAACAAAAACACATTGAGCATTTCCACTTTCAGTACCAATTCTTCATGTGCCAAGGGATTCTAGTGCTAGCCAAGTACAACGCCTGGTCGATATACCTGCGTAGGCTCCATAGAATCCACATTCACTGGGTCCTGGAGCTGGTCGCAGTGGCGCTGGTGACAGCTGGTGGTGTGTTTTTCATCCTCGAATTGCCGGCACATTTCACAACGTTGCACGGATCGTTTGGTAAGCTACTTGTAAAATTACCTTGCGTGGGCAGGCCTCCCACTAGGTGGACCGACGATCTGGTGAAGGTACCTGGATGCAAGCGGCGCAGGACCGGTCTTCGTGGAAATCCTTGGGGGAGGCCTTTGTCCAGCAGTGGACGTCTTTTGGCTGAAACGAACGACTAACGAACGAAAATTACCTTGTGGTTCTAATAGTATGGTAGACTGCACATAATCCTACTACAAAATGATGATTGATGAGGATATTTCCCAATAGGTTTCTATTTTTTCTTTAGCTTTACCTACATCAGTCTGAAAGGATACTTGAGAAAGAACTGCTGTTTCCGCGGGAATTGTTTCATTAGAGGTTTATAAATATTTTTAAGAGTGTCGATCATGCTGGCTTAATTTGGTAACATTAAGGAGAAAGATTGTTATTGTTTAATAAATAAAATAAAAATTATTAGGGTTTAAACAAAATTAAATTCTTTTAGGGTTGGTCGCTCTTGGCGCTACTCTCTTGAGCACTTTTCTTGGAATAGTGGCGGGGATATCGTACATGGCTAAAGCGTGTGCCCCTGCTAGAAGATGGTTCAAATACATTCACCATGCCATATCCGTCATCGCACTTCTCCTGGCTTCGGTCAGCCTGTGCCTAGCGTACGACAACCCAACCTTCAAGATTTGGACCAGCAGATGGTTTGAAAACGACGAATTTCCCGTCCCAATTATAATGTTAATTACTTTACTCTTCACATGTTTAGTGGCTTTCGAATTTGTGATTGCGTTGATTTGGGTGTAATTAGTTTTTTATTAAAGTTTGTAAATAATGACTATGTACTTATTAAACTAGTTAAATGATTGCGCTAAACGGTAAAAAAATTTTTTCTGGACTATCGCGCGGATNCCGCAGATGTATTGTCGCAATGATTCTGCCAATGTCGACTGTTCAAGGAGACACATACATTATTAATCCGATTCAGTATTCTAGATAGAGTTATATTATGCTGCAGAAATTTTCCCTATAAGACTGAAACTAGAAGTTTATAGAGTAGAGTACTGGAAAGATATTATTTTCGAAGTACCTTCAATTTGAAAAGGAATGTGAACCGACGACCGAACCCTCCGACACAAAAGTGGACGTGAGGCGGCGAGTCGACGTTAAAGACTTTGCCAAAGAACGCGTACCTACTTATGAGGCGTAGAGTGTTAACCTAACGTCGCGCTATAGCGCTGAATTGTATAGGTAGAATGTAGAACCCGGCGTCACACCATCCTAACGCTGCACTGCGACAGAGAGTATTACTAGCGCCAGCGCTGTTTTTGACATGAAACTATCCACATTCTACCAACACAATTTGACGCTATAGACGTCAGGCTAACGTTCTAACGCGCGCTAAGTATACGTTCTGTTTGGCGAAGCCTTTAGTGTATACTTTCTGTGACAAACCAAAATTCATGTGTTGAAAACCGCGAGCAGAAGCTGCTAAAGCCCGGTCTGTGAGCACGTAGAATTTTAGCAACATAATTACGCGCGAGCGATAAGGATGGGTAGCTTGGGGTCAATGGACAAAATTCTATGTGCTCACAGACCAGACTATAGCTGGAATAATGGTGGTTCAAGTGGTTTTACAACAACTGACTAAGACCAAGCATGATACTTAATGCTAAATGAGTCATGATCCAGGACTATTACACATTCACTTTATCTATAGTAATCAGCAGATAAGAGCGCTCCGATCAATATAAAAAAAAGGTTTTTATCAGAGCCTAATTAATACAATTTTGTTTTTGGTAAAAGATACTAGTGTAACTAGTGAGTGGGTGAACAAAATAATTATAAAAATGGGAGCGGAACTAATGGAAGATGGATTTCTCATGAGGTTCATGAATATTGTTGACTCTTTCACTCATTTTAACCTCGGAGCGGTGGCCTTCACCCTTTTCAGTATTTCTGCGGGAATTGGAGTGTCTACCAATACAGTGGCGAATACTTTGGTGCAGCACATGGTTCTAACAGTGCTTGGAGTAAGTTATTATATTTTGGTGTAAAAATCCATTCTGCACACCCAACGCTGCTTCTTGCGGTGCTTTTTCTAAGCACTTGTCCATTGTTCTAAAGCAGTGGAAGGGTTAAAATAATTCTGGGAAGGCGCATTTAAAAGTCTATTTATAAAAATAGATTACTTTTATGACCTCGATAATCATAGCCAATGATATTAAAGGAATAAATAATAAAGGAATGAGCTTCTTGAAATTATCGTTGTATGTACGTACTCGTATCAAGTGAAAACTGGCAATACTTACATAATCAAAATTAATATCCGTTGACTATGAGTCACTTAATACGTAATACTTAATCGAATCTTATCAGTTACTTATTTTATTATATTACAAATCTGCGTTCTCCTCTCTTCTAATTTTTGCTGTGCCCGTACTGTACTTTAATATTTAATTTTTTGGTACTTGACATTGTGATGAAATCATAAAAAACAAGGGTCTTTCTTAAGAAACGGCGGTCCAAATTTTGAATAGGGTGGGAATATGCATCGATATTTGAAGTGTAGTTCTTTATCTTTATACAGTGTGAGTCACGTTAAAGTGTACATATGAAAATAGATGAAACTAGACCTATTTTTATCGACAAAAAAGAGGTCAAAATTTTTTTGACATTTTTTTTAAATTTATTATAGAATTTATTTTCTTCCAATTACTTATTGTAAAGAAAACGTCATAACTTTTAAACTAAGCGGTATATCCTGATAAAATAAAAACAGTAATAATGCTAAATAACAGGCAATAATAAAACAATACATAAAATACACAAAAAATAATAAAAAATTATACTTTTTGAAAAAAATCTGCTTAAAAATTCGTATTTTTTTGGTTATTTGATAAATTTCTCCAAAAAATGCCCCTATAACAGATGGTTTTTTTTACTTTTTATTATTCTCTATCGTATTACTTTTGTAAAACTAAAAATTGCATGTCTCTATCATCGATAAAAATAGGTCTAGTTTCATATATTTTCATATGTACACTTTAACGTGACTCACACTGTATAAACAGAAATTTTTAAAACTAACGCAAACTTAACTCTAAACAAAAAAATAAAAATCTTATTTTTTACTCAAAAATAAAAGTGTGTCCGTGAGGCAGAGGCGAGGATGCTGGCTGGATAGCAATATTAAGCCTTTGTGCAAGGAAAGAGCCAGCATTTAAATTTTCCGAAATTTTAAATAATTTAGGGGAAATGGTCAAAAACTTTAGAACACTAGTTAAATTATAAAATATCTAAAAAAACTTTTTTGTTTGTTAATTTTCAAGCGCGGTACAAACTGTGGCAGCTACAACGGTTCAAAGATGGTGGTTTGTGAGCTTGACTGGCTTGACATACGTGTATACCAACATCATAAAACTAATAGATAGGGACGGAGAAATGTGCATTGTAACATTGAGCCCCGTGTAACATTGTGCCCCACCTTACCCTATTGAAATCGGACTGGAAACAAAAAAGTTACAAGTGTTTAAATAGCTGAGCGTGGCGTCAAATTTCACCCCACCCGCCCATAGTTACATAAATGGGACTCTGCGTGTCGTTGTAACATAACCAATGACGTTATGAGATCTCTAACGTCTATATCTTTGAAATTATTTTTAAAGAAAAGCACTAATTGATTTGATAATGCCAAGGCTACATAGGCATAATATTTTTTATTGAGTTAACAATGTTATGTGGGGAATACAAACATTTTTCTTTCTTTCAGTATGTCGTTTTATTCGCGCAATCGTTGCTCGTGCTGAGTCCCAATAATGGATGGTCCAGGAGTTACAGTGACAAAGAAAAAAATATCGTCCATGGGGTCATGCACTTCATTGGCTGTGTATTGGCACTGGCCGGCGGCGGGGTTGCCATGGCTGGCGTGTCTCTGCAGTACAACAGCACTCATGGCAAGATGGGTAAGCTCCAATAAAAGAATTCATCCAACTATTAGGTACAGAACTTTGGCAAAGCTTTAAACAATGTTTCCGACCACTATCCCAAAATCCAGCCTTATTACACTTATAAAAACCGATAAGCATTTTTTATGAACTGTGCTGTAACATTGAAAATAAAATCATGAACTTCTAAAAAAAATACGTCGTTAATTAATGTAAAGAATACTTTCGTCACTTTCAGTTTCAGTCAGTGTTAGTTTCAATATTATTATGATGAAGAGTCACACATTGTTTCAGTAAAAATAGTGGGATTTAATCTGAAAAAAAAAATGGATAGGTTGCTTAATTCTGCACTAGAAACTGGTAAAAAAACATTTAAGTTCACCATTGCGTTTATGAATTACATTCACCTGAACCTGACAAGTCGGAAAAAAAGAAAATCGGCCGTTTGGTGTAGTGGTTCGAAACGGACTACTATGCCGAGAGGTTCGATTCTCGGCCGGGCAGAAATTGAAATGATGAATTTTAGTTTCTGTGACGGGTCTGGGTTTTACGTATAAGTTTATATTATAGGTATGTATTTGTATTTGTAAATTATTTTTTACCAGTTTATAGTGAAGAATTGAGCTACCCAACCAATTTTTTTCAGGTTTTTGTGATGGCTAGAAATATCCCATTCTCATTGCTTTTTTAACAACCCTAGAGCGTTTCAGCGTTGGCGTTTCTAATAAATCATTTGTCTGGATGGATGCGTTCTGCAGTCGGTGTTCAAATCCCGTACCTGTAAGTCGGTGTAAGGCTCAAGCCTGACAGACAGACAGACCGCATCCGTGCAATAAGTATTAAATAGAGATTGACAATGTTGTTCAAACATTATGCACCACTTTTGACCTGACCGCAGAACGCAAATCCAGTGTGGCAAATCCTTTAGGGAGGTCAAACTAACGTATTTGTTCGTTTCAGGCATAGCAGTGATGGTCTTCACAGGACTGAGTTTGATCGTAGGCCTGGTGCACCACTTCACCAGCTGTATGCCCCGGGTCATGCATGCCTGCCACATGGGGCTGGCCTGCCTCACCATAATCTTTGCCTTCGTAACCATGACGCTAGGAATCGACACGGTTTACAGAGGACTCTTAAACGATCGCATGACTGATCTTCTTATAGCTTTCTCGGTGATTGCTCTTGTTGGCACTATATTGCCTAGCTGTGTAAGAGTTCTGAAACGTTTAATAAATTAGATATAATTATCTTATTTGTAAATCATTTATATTTAATTTTACGGCCAGTTATTATAAGTACTTTCAATTCATATATTATCATCGATGAGTGACTGTGTAAACATAAATGTATAATAGCGATGGGTGGTTGATTCACATTGAATAACGAACTGAATAAACAATTTTAATTTAATATTGGCAATTTTATTTCTATACCAATAAAATATTATGAAACGACGTTCCATTTTCAACTTTGGTTTCGTTTGTTATTTAAGAATATCATCAAATCATTTTAATCGTCAAAAGTTATTTTCATTTAAAAAATCTGCTATTCGGAAATCAAAACTAACTTTCATACTCTGCTTTTATCACAACCTTAATATTGGGAGATAACGAGACAGATAAAAGAATTTATCGATTGATACTTCTCTGAGATGATGATATATCTGTGACATTTTGTGCCTGGTAGGAGAGTGCGAAATATTGTGAAATGCGTATTTTTTAAAAGTGAATTTTGGTGGTAGTAAAATTGATAGTGCTACGGGCAAAAACATAACCCTCCTTCTGGCGCAGTCGGGTAAAAAGCAATACTTCATACTGCAAGGATGGTGGCTGTTCAGAACGACGCAAATGGGCCAGAGGACGGTGGGGGTGCCAGGTTCAGGCCTGAGCCCTCATCATACCTCATGACGTTCATGGATATAGTCAATATGATCACTCACATGACACTTGGAGCTGTGGCATTTATCACAATTTTCCTTGGCATTATGTACGTCCCAGTGCTAAGGCAACATATAATCCTGACTGTTGTTGGGGTAAGTTATTCGTGTACTTCTAAACTTAAATTCCAGAAGATTGACGGCCAAAAAATCAATTTATATGGTCAGTATAATAGAGAGATGCCAAAAATTTAGAAGAGTATAATAAAGACAATTTTATGGATAAACATACTGATAATACATCATCTGGAAATGGAAGTAGAAAAAATCCAATTGGAACTTTTCGAAAATGTTTTAAGCTTACAAATTACACACCTAACTAACTATACGTATTATTATTACTCAATATTACTAATTTAGCTTCTTCGTCCCAATATACATAGTTCTAAAGATACTCGTATAATGTTATTGCAGTATGTCATCCTTATGACTCAATCGATCCTCGTGCTCAGCTCCCACAACGGATGGTCGAGGACCATCAGGTATAAGGACAGGAAAATAGTCCACCTACTGATGCAAGTCTTTGGTTCCATCCTTGCCATCGCTGGAAACATAGTCGTCATGGTCGAGAAGAATGAACTTCAACACCACACATGGTATTTTAGGTAAGCATTTTTGACTGTGATGGTATATCATTTTCTGAAAGGTTCATTTTCTCTTTATAGGTATGACATCTATCGTCCATTTTGTACTGGAGAGATATCAAACCTTATCTTCAAACACCTCTAAATTTCTTCTAAATAATATTTGCTTGCGGATCGAAAACCCTTTTACATTAGTCGGATATTACTTAGGCCTGCTCAACTTGGGCCTTCACTGCTTAATTGGGGGTCAAGCTATAATCTCCTGCTATGATCTCCTCAGAGCCCAGTGTTTTACTGGGTTCGAGACCCATACTCACTGATGTTCTCTTGGAGGCGCGTGGGTGGGTAGGCATTTTCGTATGAGAAACAAAAAAGAATCTGCAGCAATGACACCAGTTACACAGGAGTTGCATTTCCGTTGCAGTTGTGGCAAACATAATACCTAATTAACATAATGAAATCTTTAATCAGTTTTAGATGGATTGACGTACACTCATTTTAAACTTTCGGTATGCCATATTAGAAGCCTACGCGGCACAAAAAGTCTGACACAGTGATATGACCATATGATAAAGATCTAAAGAGATGCCAACTAATGCGCCGAGTTTGAAATCATCAATGTAAACTGTTTACACATACATGTAGTAGGTATAACGTCACTCTGTCATAATTGCTGTCGCGAGCAATGACTGTGTACTGTTTTGGGCATATTGCTGCGACATTGGCCCCGCCCGCTTTTCACATCTCACTTTAGTTTCTGTGATCTGTGGTTGTGACCATATTGAAAACCCACTAAATGGATATTGTTGTTCCAGGCTTAGTAGCGATGATATTCACCATAATAAGTTTGGTTGGAGGGGCTTTCCATCTCTACATCCACTGCATGCCTCGTGTGACCTGTCTTCTCCACTGCATCATCGGGGCATTGACTATGATCATCGGCTTCCTGGCCCTGATATTTGGCATTGAGGAAACATTCAGAACGGTGTTTGGCAATGCTAGCACTAACCTGCTTATCTGTTTGACGGTGATGAGCCTTGTCGGCACTTTATTACCTTGCTGTCTCAAACTTCAACGAGGATGCTTTAAATTTTGAATAATTTATTTTATTTTTAATGTTAATTTTAATGTAGGTAGGTAAGTTAAATAATGAAATTTTTAATTTTCATTTCGCGAATCGATTGATAATTCCAATATTCTGAGTCATTCATATACAGTTTGACTAGTATGCTTGTCTTTTCTTTAAAAAAAATTGAGATTACCCCTCGTATAATAATATTATAATTATTTGATTAGATATACCTTTTATATTGTTTTTAAGTAAATAATATTGATAAAGGTGAAGATAATCGTGTTACAGTAATTATATCTCATATTTATCTATCGCGATAAATACCCAGGGATTGACGAATCAAAAAATATTTATTGTACGATTCAAGTAAGTATACCTACTCGTAATAGTAAATTATTATTAATCTTTTAGATTTAATAGGTATGTTATTTACGAGTACTTCAGTACTTGAGCGTTGTGTATAATATTTTATAGGGAGCTGTATATTTCTATACAAGCCTTAAGATTTGGTTGTTAAGTAAAATAAAAACAAAATTCATCATTTATTTCATTAGTTTTATTTATTACGCTTCAGTTTATTTACATTCTTATGAATTAATTATTTTACTAAAATTCTTATTCGAGTTACAAACAGCGATATCCTAATTCTCTTAAAAATAACGCATAATTACATCGTAAGTACTTTCTTAAAAACAGGCACGGTAGTGCAGCGCCAAGTTCCGTTCCCATCTTACTAACATTAACTATTTTAAATATCACACCAATTAAACAAAATACGTATCCATTAAAACTAATTTGTAAATAAATTTAAACTTAGAGCGTTTGGAAGATTAAAATTGATTAAAGGCAAACATAGTATATTTACAGGCAGTGTTGTTAGCGTAGATAGTAATACTAGTCAGAGTATTATTAAACGTTAAATTCAGTCCCACAAAATCTTCGTGTTGGCGGTTTATCTTAGAGAAATAATTGGAAATGGCACTTTAAGTACGAAAGTTTGTAGTTGTGATAGCTCATCTACCAATACATGAGTAGCAGCAGTTCTGTACGTAGTAATTGTAGTGACAGAGCCGAGCTTGCACCGCGAGCGCACAGTTGCTCAGCTTATCCTTGCATTCTGAAAGAAAAAGTTACTTTGCAATAAAGTAAGAAGTTTTTCACAAAACTTGGACATTTCACTACGCGAACATGAGGCTAAAACCTACATGTCTTCTTTTAAATGGCAACTACAACCTGATCGAGTTAACTGAATGCGACTCCTCCTCGCATTCACCCGCACACCTCCATCAGAGCGTCGATGTGACGTCACGTCCGCTAGATGCGCAGTTAACTCGACCGGGTTGTATATTTTTTTAAATGGCCACTTGTTCGTATTCTTACCTTTAGGAGGACTTTTGACGGTAGTAGTAAAAGAAGTAGTATGAATGACTCGAGGTGTGGTTTGAACGATTCGAGGTGTGGTCGGCAGACTAGTCGTGATAACAGGCGCTATCTCTGGCTCTGAAAATAAACATAAACAAATTGTTTTTATCCTTGTTAAGTACTAAAGAGTAGCACTAATTATTATCACGAAGATAAAGAGGTGGTTTTCACATTCAATCATTTTTATAAGGTATTTATTGCAGATTCTATCAAAACTTGCGATAACACGTTTCCTTGTACTTGTAATGCGCGCGCGCACGGGTGACTTTTGTCACCGTGATAGTATATCTCTCCATAGATAAGAATAAGGATTACCTATGTTCTCTTTTTTTTTCTTTACAAATTAATGTAAAAGAGAAAGATATACTGTGACGGTGACAAATAATTACACGCGTTATAACGACGCGACTTCGTCTAATCCAATCAACGTTTACTTCCAAGTAGTCCCAACCACCCCGGTGCCTCTGTCCCTTTAACGGGGTGGATGGGAAAAAGTGTTTCATTGACCCCGGTAGTCATAATATTAGCGTTAAACGGGGTGGGTATCAGGTCACTTTAGTCTCTACTATAGGATTAGAGAGACCCCTTAAACATCCACTGGAATAAGTGGCCTATTCTACTCTACTGGGGCAGCTAAATGAATAAAACTCACCTAGAGATATTTCTGGTGGAACATCCGAGTTGCAGTCCGGTTCGCAGGCCCTCACCGACGCCGGTTTCGGTCCCGGACAGTCTGCATCCGAGCCAGCTCCATTGGAGTCCTTCAGGCACACCACCGACCTTCTCTGAGCTCCCACGCCGTTTGTGCAGTTGCCGGTGCACTGCCGAAAAAATGTTATTAAAAAAAAACTCTCTAAAGGATTGGCCTTTTTTATATGTCGCCGAAAAGAAACAGTCCCCCGGGCGAAAGGAGAAATTCGAAGTAAAGAAGTCCTAATAGTCCAAATAGACTTGCATTATTCGTATACCACCAAGTGACTCAAGTATGCATTGACCTGTGTTTGTCATACAAAAGGCTCACGCACAGTACAAGTGCCACCAAGAGATGTCAATACTTATCTTACTAATATTATAAAGGTGAAAGTTTGTGTGGATGTTTGTTACTCTTTCACGCAAAATCTACTGAACGGATTTTGTTGAAACTTTACAGTATTATTATTTGTAACCCATCAGATTATACACTTTTGTTGCAAAATAGTTCCAAATACAACTACCTAAGATGACCAAGTGTTTAGCTTGACCTGCCGTACAAACCTGTTCCCACTCTCCGGAGTACCACGTAGGGGCGCAGTCTCCACCACAGCTTCGTTCCTGTTCGGGCTTGGTTCCCTTGCAGGCAGTGTCTCTGAGGTGCCTCCCGCTGCCTCCAATACACAGGACCCCACGGATTTGCTTGCCTCCACAAGATGATGAACAGGGTGACCATTCACCTACAATAAACACAAATTAGAGTAATTCAGTGTATTGTAATTGTATTCAATAGCACTTACTACTATAAAAAAATAACGAAATTATCTAAGTATATCTACAATTTAATGTACCTACTTTTCCTGTGGATAACCTTTTTAAAAAGAGCATTTTCACTGCCTCGTTTTTTAAAATACCCTTAATGAAGTTTAAATCTTACTCATCAAACCTTTAAAAACTAATCCACTATTCAATATGTGAAGAAGTGTTCATTTTCTAAATTCGACCATCAGATAGCGAATCAGTGTATAATAAGTTTAAAGTACAAACATATCCAACAAAGTTCATTATTGAGGCAGCGGCTACTTGAGCTCCTGAATCAGGTTAAGAAGAAATGCCCTTACCAGTGAACCATCGTCCGTCATGTGGCTCGCACGTCAGCTTCGGGGTACAATTCCTGGAGGACTCTGGTGCCTTCTTGGGTGTACATCCTGAAGGGTCAGCGCAGCGAATACCGCGTGTCTGAACCCCACCACCCACGCACCAGCCTACACACTAAGTGAAAAGGCAATGCTTAGAAATTAAAAACTTACGAGAAAAACTAGGGAATAAAATGGAACTTTATTACAATTAAAGGTACACACTCAGGTACTTAGTTTTAGGCTTGCAATGTCCTCAGGTAGTGCTAGTACTAATAAAGTTACTTATTTTTTCCACTACGTAAGAACCGAACTGATGTTCTGTCTGGGTTGCAGAGATTTGAACATAATGTTGAAATGTTGTTATTTTTTTTTTACTTTTATATTTTTACTGCTATCACTGCTACTTTATAAAACTTACTTCTGACCAGTCAGTATAAAGCCAACCGGCTGTAGCTCCAAACGAATATTCAGGGCCCACATCAAAATCTGTGCTATTCACGGCTACACTATAAACAGGACCATCTCTGAATGTGTCTGTATGCTCCTGCGTTCTCACTCCTCGAACACCGATTTGTTCTGATCCGTCACAGTTGGGAATGTTGCATACTTCCGATGTTATGGGCTTCGGAGACGGGCACTTTTGATCGCTGACCTTAAAGAAGACAAAAGTAATCTGAGAAAATATGAAAATAAAACTAAATCAAATTCGGGTGTGGTCTTTTTCAATTGAGTCAGTTAATTAACGATAAAGACGATGTAAGTAGAATATCTTATCATTTATCTTTGGCCCTAGCTATAAAATATCAGAAATATTAAACCTTTATGTTTTATCAACATAATGAGATTATATTATAGACCTACCTTGGTTATGCCCCTAAAATGATCCTGCACACAGCCAACAATTCTGGTCCTACTCGCTGGTCCGCAATAAGGACAGGCTGACCATGCAGCAGCCCTCCATCTGGGAGGGCATGGTGCGTTGTTGCACCTTCTTCTCCTCCCAACAGGGGAAGACCCTGGACAATGCACTGGAGACACCTCCTTATCAGAACCATTGGTGCTGATTTCTACGCAGCGATATTTGCCTAGCTGAAAGCAGACCACAAATTATTTCCATTGAAAAAACTTAATTAAACCATATCATACCAAACACATACCATAATCATTTGAATATGAAAACTAGCCCTTAAAACGAAATATGTCATGAAAGTGAAATCTCAATTAATGCACTTTGATAATTGGACAGTCTTCATGACCAGCTACGACGCTCAGAATGTCATTGGTCACAACAAGAACAACTCAGTCGTCTGCATAAACATCTGTGTACATTTACATGCCCAGGTATCATAACAGCCCTAATAACATTCTAAACGCGTTACTTGAAGGAAATAATCATGTATCTCACCTGAATACCGCCACCACAACTCCTCGTGCACTGACTGTAAGAAGTTATCTTCCAAATAAACTTTCTGCTCCCAACCACATTTTCCTCTACATCATCATTATTGCCGACTTCTTTAGACATGCTGACCAGATCAGGAAACCTGGACACACTTGGTCTAGGAAACGTTTCGAATGTGTGGTGTCTGCGAATATGCTTTGTAGCTATTGAGGGGAGAATCTCAGGGATATTGGGCCTCGTAGATATTTCGATTTCTCCCTCATTTGAGAGCGATTCCGTGAAATATTCGTATCGTATGCTTGGATTTGGTTGAGTGTATAAAACCTAAAACGAAAACAAGTTAAAATATCATATAGCGTCATCAAAATTCCCCAATCCAGATAATACAACTTTCAATATAGAGTATGCAAGCATGTAATAATGAAAGAACACTTTACGTATAGAGTCCCAAAGCAGAACTCTTTGTATTGTTCTGCTTCAAATTAGGTACAATATTGAAGATGTACAGTATAATCATGTCATACTATCAATTTTTGGCAGTATCACTTATCACAAGTACATCTTTAAGATGTATCTGTGATTCACCGTCTTCTGTAGGAAGTCACGTATATTGTATAGGTACTTCCAAGTTTAAATGATTTTATCAAATCAAAATCAATGATAATACCAATGTTTACAATGATTACATCGATTGGATCTTTAAAAAAATAAATTACGCATTTTTTATTAACTCTCGCAGTTATTTTTCCCAAGCAAAGTGATCCTAAAAGCTACTCCAGGATTGGTCATTAAAGTTAATAGGATAATTCTATCGTTTCTTATCAGCTTGTCAATTTACCATTATGTCTACAGGTTGTAATATGGGTCCCATCGCGAAGATATTGTCGAGTCCAGCTACTCGGGAGTAGACGAACCTTGCTCCCGCTGCATCGTAGGTCCCCGGGGCGCTCACGGCAAACTCTCCGTTCACTATGTACGAACTGTTTGATATCTTCAGAGCTACAATAAAAGGGTAAGATTTAGGTGTGTTATTAAAAACAGCAAGCCAAATATGGACATGGATATCATAAAATTGTATAATGCCTTTCGGATTCCGATCAATTTGCTATATCTACGTTGGTGATTCCCTGCAAAGTCAAGTCTTTTTTTATCAAATAATCGGGGAAGTTTCAGAGTTTAACAGAAATGCACGTAAGCAAATGCTATCAATTAGTATTAATGCCATTTATAGTGACATCATTATTGATAAAAAATATATTATTGACAACTACATACAAAAACCCGAATTGAAAAGTGCAAGATTAATTGCAAGGATTGACACATCGCCATTCTGTTGTATTCGCAATTGATTCCAAATGCTTCAAATGGCCCGGCAAAAGGCAGGGTGAGCCGATCTATTCATATCACAAAACAACGTGGGTGTTGCTATTGTACGCCATAGCAAATGATTTACAGTGGTCCTCGACAACGCTGATTGATAAGTGGCCAACCGTTTGCGGGCCATTTGCTTTCATCAAAGGTCTATTCAGTATTGTGCACTAGTTAATGATATCGAAGCTGCAGGTTAGATTACCGATGTACATTTTTCAAGTATGAGGTTACTCGCTAATGACGTGCAATAAGACTTCTGTCAGAAGTTTATTACTGCGCAATCTACGTACATAATAATATTGGGTATATACAGAATGAGGATTATTTTTTAAAATTTGTAGCTAATCATCTAGTGATAGTAATAGCATGAAATCAGCCGGGAGAACAGTCCCGTACTAGTCTGTCACAGACTGCGCATACTAACCGATGTAGTTGTCACTGGGCACGATCTCGGAGACGTTGAGGCGGCAGGCCCCGCGCGGCACCGTCGTCACGTACGAGTAGCCGAGCGGCAGCCGCGGCCGGGAGAACAGGCCTGACACCAGTCTTCTTCCGCATCGCACCTCACGGGCATTTGCTGCTGCAATAATCGTTTCTCTACCCACGATCTGGAACCAAAATTATTGTCACTGAACGTTGGCCAATCGAGATACTCGTAGATGAATAGTTTTCTAGGAGCTAATTTCTGTTGTTTACACGCGTCAAGGCTTAGTGGTACTACGTCACCGATTTTATTGAACTTAGCGTATTTTTTTATATCTATTACATCCCGGACGAGCCCCCAAGCTGTAGGAATTGAAACCCAGGTTGTATTTCTTCAGCTTTATTTGTATTTGCTCCAGGATAAACCACAAAAAATAGGAACGTCTTAGAACCGTCTTAATACTAATCGTCTTCTGTTTAAATCCCGTCGTTCTTCCTTCCTCACTCATTCATTCCGTCTCCCTCACTCCCTTGCGTTCCGTTTCACACTCCCACACTCGGCCATCCTGCGTACAGTCCGCCCTCGGACTGTTTCATTTCAAAACTTTACATGAAAGCATCTTATAACTAATCTTGTTAATACAATTCTTATAATCATCTTTCTCGTATGTTCTAGCTTTCTTTCTTTTCTTGTTATAAACTCTTAACACTTCCATCTTGAATTGTCTCCACACATTCTCTTGCCTTTTCTCTTAACTCTGGTCTTGTCTCGTTCATTCTTTCTACGTTTTCCTCTTCTATCATCTTAACAAGTTCATCATCTCCTTTATTAATCCGGTTAAACAGTCCTTCTTTCCCTCCCTCGTGATTCTCTCTTATAATTTCGTTCTGCGTCTTCTCCGGTACTACAAATAATAATTCATCTTCATCTCTTTCTTGGTACAACATGTCATTCTGGTAGGATTCTTTCAGCATCTGAATATGTTCGTCTTCATCTTGTGCTTTCTTCAGTCGTGCAGTCGTCTCGGTAAGTACTAAACAGCTTAGGACGTCGGCTTGTTTCATACGTGATACAGGTCGGTGTTCAATCTGACAGTCGTTACTTTTCTTTATTTCATCTGTAGGCTTGCAGTCTTCTAATATTTTCTCAATTTCAGTCATGTGTCTAGAGTCGTCTATGTCGTGTACTACAACTTGATCATCTTTTTCCAACGGGACAACTTCGGTCCGTCCGAGTCCACTCAACGTCAAACATCTTCCGTCGTCGTATTTTGGGGAGCCGATAGTTTTGTACACGTCTTCCGTCATGAGATTCACCTCGCTGCCCGTATCAATAAGACTCGCCGTAGTTATCGCGTTGTTGTCAACAAATTGAACTTCTTTTAGCGGCCTCGATGTTTTCACACTTTTGTTGTTTACGTCCGATACCATCAAGTTGGCAGAAATGTCATCTGTCAGTTCTGCGTTTCGTTCTACGTTCGGTTTCGATCTCCAGTCAGTTGTTGATTGCGTCGTGTTGGCAACACTGTATCGTTCGGGTGTTTTCGTGAACATCGCTCGTTTCGGACTGGCATGACGTTGCTGACGATTGTCTGACTGCCATTTTGAATTTTCACTGGTCACTTGTTGATGATTTGCAGGTTTTGAACATTCACTAGATCTGTGTCCAAACTCATTACACCGGAAACATTTAACCCCTCTTTCCTTGTGAAAACATTGAGCCGAAATATGGTTGCTTCCTCCACAGTTAAAACATCTTGGTCTTGTCGTCTTATTGTAATTTACCGGTGCCGTCGTGCTGCTACTGGAGGGTCTACGTCGTTCATCCACCATTTTCGCCTTTACTGTCTCGTATACTTTCAGTTTCTCTTTCAGCTCACCGTATGTAGTTGCACCGTACAGCATGATTTTATTGGTTTCTACGTCAACAATGCCGTCTATGATATATTTTATTGCGACGTAGTCGGGCATTTTCCCGCGCCTTCCCAACTCCTTCATGACAAGTAGGTAATCAGTACAGCTCTCACTATTGGCCTTCTTTCTCGCACTCATCATTTCGTGGACTGTCTTTACGTCTAACGAATCCGGGAACTCTTTGAGTAAACCAGTTTTGAACTCGTCCCACGACCTGAATGGCTTCTCCGACCGCAACCAGAGTGCCGCTGTTCCAATGAGTGATCTGCGTCCCACAATGAGTTGGTGTAATGGTGACCAACCAAAGATCTCAGCGTTCTCCTCCACCTCTTGGACCCATCTTGATGCGGTGACAGTTTGGTCTCGACCACTAAATTTTGGGATCAGCTCCTCGGCATAGGCAAAAGTAGTAGGTATGCGCTGCTCCAGGGTCTTGCTCGGGCCAGCATCTTCCGCATCTTCGAAATCATGCTTACTATGTCGTCGTCTCATGATTGATGAAAATACGTCTCACGTCTCAATCCGTCGTAATCGTCGTGAATCGTCGTGTTTCCTTTTCTTGGGCTATCCCGGACGAGCCCCCAAGCTGTAGGAATTGAAACCCAGGTTGTATTTCTTCAGCTGTATTTGTATTTACTCCAGGATAAACCACAAAAAATAGGAACGTCTTAGAACCGTCTTAATACTAATCGTCTTCTGTTTAAATCCCGTCGTTCTTACTTCCTCACTCATTCATTCCGTCTCCCTCACTCCCTTGCGTTCCGTTTCACACTCCCACAAACATATAAATCGATAACATCTATCACCTACTGTAATTATTATCTTCATGCATTAATTAATCAATCATTTTCATTTAAAAAAAAAACAGTCATGTGAACAGTCTTTGTTGCGTTTTAAGAGATTTAATATCAATATAATAAATACGATTTTTTATTCCTTAATTAAGTACTAAATGACTACTTTGTCACACACTAGTTTATTATGTGGTCATACTAAATTCAAGGTTCATCACCTTCAAGATTTTCAATACAATCTAGACCTACTTTATATTTTGAAAGCGTTGATTGATTGATACAAACCATGTGATACGGCATAATATGTACCCACTACGAATAATGCATACAATAGTATAAAGACCAAACCAATCGAACCAGCTCCAGTAATTGACATAGCACCAATCACTGGGGAAAACTTTATGGAGCGACAGACAGACCAGACTGATATGGGCAACACAATGGCTCATGACCATAAAAGGCACCTTTAAAAGTTAATCTATGGAGATAACTAATACAGATTGGGTGTCCCTGATAGCTTCCCATTTAGTTATGTCAGAACATTACTTCTTTACTTCTTATCTAAGTGTCACTTTCCGTTGTTATTCCCTTAATAGCTCATTAGATCACACACTTAAACCTTGTAAAAGTAATCGCCTTTGTTTTGTAACATTGTTTATCTTATCGTTTGTCAGTAATGACAGTCGCCATGACTATAGTTCCAAAATACTGGACTGTCCTATCGATGACATTGACAGTGGGGCGCCACCGTCAATACCGGATCGCTGGTTCAGATTTTTGCCATGTTGGAAACCATATAGTTGAACGATGGTAGCGCCCCCCTGTCATTGAGTTTGGCGGGACAGTTCAGCGTGGGTCATCTATATTATCGTTTATCACATACCACAGATATTGGTCGATTAGATAGGTAAATCAAGGACTTACACATTAAATAACATAGGAGTTTGTACCCCTTGGAGCTATCAAACCTATAGAAAATATTTATTCCTTTCTCTATAATGTTTTGCACAACGGGACTATTCCCACCGCTGCAACTCCTGTATAGCCAGGATTTACAGCTTGACCGCCAACAACCCAACTAGTAAAGGCCAAGTTTGTATGGCCAAGTTTGTTTGTATGTTGTATGTTTTGCTCGGGATTTCCAGAAAAGGCCCTAAGTATCTACAAAAGAATTTTGATAAATATAAGGAACCACAATTTAAAAATTAAGTTTGAGAAAAAAGGAAATTAATAGAAATTCAGTTAAATATTACAATAAACTTTTGTAACTTAATAAAGTTAAATGTTAAAATATTGAGTCCTGAAAACTTTGATAGCTAACAGTATCTAGAACCTATTGAAGAAGAAAGCAGAATTTTATTAGGGCTAAGCTTTAAATCTGGTCTCAACTTATTATAGCTGTGCATAAAATGTAAGCTATAATTAAAGACCTATTAACTACTTAAAGTTAGCGCAGAAAACGAGTTTATAAATGCGTGGAAATCTAGACTACATGACTACAAGGTGGTCGAAAGTTGTCGTGTAATTTTCTCAACGAGTTGAAGATTATTGAACACTCTGTTGCCCTCGGCTCCGCGTAATACACGTTATTAAAATTAGCGACACAAAACAACATCAAGATAATGAGACAAAACAAAACTGATTAAAATATGCGTTATTAAAAACACCTATTTCTCCAAAAATCACAAATATGCATTCTCATATCCCTTGCAAAAATATATTATAGCAATCTGGGGGCACGGCAGTGCCCCCACCAAGTCGAGCACGGCCGTACCATCCTTTTCTCGAAGCAATTCAGGCCATTTTCGACCGCCTGTAACTTCGTTCTGGATAAAACTAGAAGGCTGAATTTTCATTAGCTATGCAGGCATTGTAAAGACACGGTATATTTCAAATTTCATTCAATTTGAACCAGTAGTTTAAGAATTATAACGGGTCAAAGTTACTTAATTTTGTCACTCACTGACTCACTGACTGACTCACCGATCATCAAAACTCTAAGGCACTTCTAGCAGACCTAGAAGCTTCAAATTTGGAATATAAGTAGTGTTTGGTGTATGAATCAAGGAAAAACTAAAATATTTGGGGGCACGGTAGTGCAACCGCCAAGTCGAGTAAAATTTTTCATTTTCGGTCCAGTTTTCTAGATACATAACTGCTGTCTACAAAATACAAAAAGAAATGAGATAGATCCCATCAAAAACAATACTTGTCAAAAAAACCAAGTCTCGCAACTCAGTTGTTCTACGGTAAAAAGTTGTGAGATCCATGTAATACCAAGTCCAGGCCAGGAAATCTTTAACGTTTTACATAAATTATTGACTTGGCCATCGCACTAAATAATTTAATTTACACGTGTTTTCATGCGATGGCCAAGTCAATATATTTATGTAAAACGTTAAAGATTTCCTGGCCTGGACTTGGTATTACATGGATCTCACAACTTTTTACCGTAGAACAACTGAGTTGCGAGACTT